TTTATATGTATATGTATATGCATATGTATATGTAAATGTATATGTCTACGTATATGTATAATATGTATATATATATGTATATGTATATGTATATGTATTTGTATATGTATATGTATATGTATATGTATATGTATATGTATGTGTATATGTATATGTATATGTATATGTTTATGTATATGTATTCGTATATGTATGCGTATGTGTATGCGCATGTGTATATGTAAACTTATATGTATTCGCATATGTAAATGTACATGTAAATGCATATGTATGTGTATATGTCTATGCATATGTATTTGTATATGTGTATGCGTATGTGTATGCGTATGTATATGTATATGTATATGTATGATCGCGATCCACAGGAGGACCTTTTCCGGACCCCTTCGGGAGACCTCTTGGAGGCCGTCCTATCCGTTTGGAGCCATCTTGGGGCCTCGTTTGGGACTCTTGGGAGTGCTCTTGTAGGCCTCTTGGGAACTTTTGGGGCCACCTGGGAGTTTCTTTGGGCGGACGGCTGCAACTTTCGAGTCGGAGCTCCCCTCTTGGACCCCTCCTGGAGCTGTCTTAGTCGGCCCTTGGGCCGCCTTGGCGCCCTCTTGGACTATCTTGGAGGCCTCTTGGGAGCATCTTCGCTTTGCTTGGGGAAGTCTTGGGGGCCTCTTGGGCCGTCTGCAAACCCGTGAACGCCCCCAAATCGTACATGCTTGGAATGCTCGTTTCGCCTGCAGGCATGTAACGAATTTGGTCTCTTGGGATCCTCTTGGGAGTGCTCTTGGAGGCCTCTTGGGACGTCTCGGAGCCTTATTGGACCTTCTTGGGGCCATCTTGGGCAGACTTGGGCGACTCGGGGCCTTCTTGGGCCTTCTTGAGGCCCGTTTTGAGGCTAATTTGGGCCGTCTTGGGTAGCTCTTGGGCCGTCTTTGCCCCCTTTTGGGCTGGCTCGAGGGCCTCTTGGGAGTGTCTTAGGCTCTCTTGGGCAAGTCTTGGGAGCCTCTTGGGCCGTCTTCAAAGCCGTGAAGGCCGAATAGTCGCATATGAAACAGATGCACGCTTTCCCGTAGGAGTTCAACGATTGTGGCTTCTGAGGGCCATCCTGGGAGTGCTCTTGGAGGCCTCTTGGGACGCCTCGGAGCCTTCTTGGAGCTTCTTGGAGTCATCTTGGGCCGTCTTGGGCGACTCGGGGCCTTCTTGGGCCGTCTTGGGCGCCGTCTTTGGGCCAACTTGGCCGTCTTAGGCGGCCCTTGGGCCGCCTTGGCGCCCTCTTGGGCTGGCTCGGGGGCCTCTTGGGAACGTCTTGGGCTGTCTTGGGGAAATCTTGGGAGCCTCTTGGGCCGTCTTCAAAGCCGTGAAGGCCGAATAGTCGCATATGAACGAATCCTACGTTTTCCCGTAGGAATTCAACGATTGTGACTTCTTGGGGCCCTCCTGGGAGTGCTCTTGGAGGCCTCTTGGGACGCCTCGGAGCCTTCCTGGACCGTCTTGGGGCCTTCTTGGGCCGTCTTGGGCACCGGCTCGGGGGCCTCTTGAGAACGTCTTGGGCTGTCTCGGGGAAGTCTTTTGAAAGCCGCGGAAGCTGAAAAGTCGCACATGCTAAAAATGTACGTTTCCCAAGCGGAATTTGAAGATTTGGGCCTCTTGGGTCCCTCTTGGGAGTGCGAGTCCTCCTGGGCCGTATTGGGCAGCTCGGAACCTTCTTGCGCCGTCTTGGGGACCTCTTGGAACCCTCTTTGCCTCTCCAGGCCGCCTCTGGGGAGCGAAACGGGGTGGGTATCAGCAGGCTCTCTGGATGGTTGCGGGGTTGGCCGGCCCAGGCCGGGGGGGGGCCTTCTGTATTTATATAATGTTATAGAACCACGCGCGCGCTTAGGTTCTAGCTAGGCTTCACGGTCGAACTTTGAAGACCTTTATTTTGTGACAAATCCCTCTGGGGCACCCAAGAACTACGCCAACGGCCCAAGTGATTGTCAAGACCACCTGAGGCCATCCCACCTCCTGACTGGCAGCCCTTGGGCCGTCTTGGCTCCCTCTTGGGCTGTCTGGAGGGCCTCTTGGGAGTGTCTTAGGCTCTCTTGGGCAAGTCTTAGGGGCCTCTTGGGCCGTCTTCAAAGCCGTGAAGGCCGAATAGTCGCATATGAAACAAACCTACGTTTTCCCGTAGGAATTCAACGATTGCGGCTTCTTGGGGCTCTCCTGGGAGTGCTCTGAGGCCTCTTGGGACGCCTCGGAGCCTTCCTGGACCGTCTTGGGGCTATCTTGGGCCGTCTTGGGCGACTCGGGGCCTTCTTGGGCCGTCTTGGGCGCCGTGTTGAGGCCAACTTGGCCGTCTTAGGCGGCCCTTGGGCCGTCTTGGCGCCCTCTTGGGCTGGCTCGGGGGCCTCTTGGGAACGTCATGGGCTGTCTTGGGGAAGTCTTGGGAGCCTCTTGGACTGTTTTGAAATCCGCGGAAGCTGAAAAGTCGTACATGCTGAAAATGTACGTTTCCCCAGCGGAATTTGAAGATTTGGGCTTCGTGGGTCCCTCTTGGGAGTGCTCTGGGAGTCCTCCTGGGCCGTATTGGGCAGCTCAGAACCTTCTTGCGCTGTCTTGGGGACCTCTTGGAACCCTCTTGGCTCGTTTTGGCACCCTCTTGGCCTCTCTGGGGGGCGAAACGGGGGGGTATCAGCTGGCTTCCCCCCCGATGGTTGCAGGGTTGGCCGGCCCAGGCGGGGGGGGGGGGGCTATTCATTTATATCATGTATGTGTAAATGTATGCATACGTGTGTGTGTGTGTGTGTGTGTGTGTGTGAGAATACTGACCCCTGGGGCCCGCCACCTCGCAACCATTTCGGCGCCCCCAGTTGCATTTCCAAGGGGCTTCAAAGACATGCCAAGAAGGACTCCAGGTGGCCCAGGATGGCCCAAACTGGGCCCAAGATGGTGCAATATGGCCGCCAAAGTAGCACCCGAGGAGTCGATATGACTCAAACTACTACTCCACCTCCTCTTACAAGTGCAGATACTGCTATTACTGCTGCAACTATTACTACTACAACTACAACTACAAATGCAACAACAACAACAACTACTACTACTACTACTACTACTACTACTAACTACTACTACTATACTACTACTACTACTACACTACTACTACTACTACTACGACTACGACTATTACTATTACTATTGCGACTGCGACTACGACCAGTACCACTACTACCACTACTACTACTACTACCACTACTACTACTACTGCTGCTGCTACTACTACGACTACTACTACTATTACTGCTACGACTGCTACTACAGCGACTAATACTACAGCGATTATTGATACTGCCATTATAATTATTCTTTCCACTCGTACTAGCACTACCTTTCCTACGGCTACCACCACTACTACTACTTCTCCTACCACTACTAGCGCTACTTCTATCACTACGACTACTACTACGACAACTACTACTGCTACTATCATCAGTTATCCGTCTTATTATTATGCTGGTAGTAGTCGTCGTAGTAGTAGTAGTAGTAGTAGTAGTAGTAGTAGTAGTAGTAGTAGTAGTAGTAGTACTAGTCGTCGTCGTCGTCGTCGTCGTCGTAGTAGTAGTCGTAGTAGTAGTAGTAGTAGTAGTAGTAGTCGTAGTAGTAGTAGTAGTAGTAGTAGTAGTAGTAGTAGTCGTAGTAGTAGTAGTAGTAGTAGTAGTAGTAGTAGTAGTAGTAGTAGTAGTAGTAGTAGTAGTAGTAGTAGGAGTAGGAGTAGTAGTATGAGGAGTAGAAGTATAGTAGTAGTAGTAGTAGTAGTAGTAGTAGTAGTAGTAGTAGTAGTAGTAGTAGCAGTACGACTGCTAGTACCATCTCTATCCCTAATACTTTTACTACTATTACTACTTGCACGACAACGACGACTACGACTAGTTTTACTACTACTAGTTGTATTACTGTTTTCACTACTAGTAGTACTGGCATCGTTAGTAGTACTACTACTGCTTTCACCACGCCTACTACTACCACTACGACTAACCACTTCTAGTATTTTTTTATTGCTACTTCAACTGCTACAACTGCTACTACTACTAGTTCCCTCAACTCTTATTACGGCTGCTGCTATCTCCACTGCCACTAGTACGACTGTGGCTACGAGTACGACTCGTATTGTAACTACGACGACTGCTATTATTTTTTTAAGTACTTCCATTACTACTACTATCATTACTATCGCTATTACTATTACTATTATTTCTATTACTACTTATTATTACTATCACTATTACTGTTCTTGCTACTATCGCTATTACTGACAATTTTTTGGATCTTTAGCACTATCACTATTACTATTACTATTACTATTACTATTTCGATTACTAGTACTATTACTATTACTATTTCTGTTACTATTGCTATGACTATTACTTCGACTACTACTACTTCCACCAGTATGGCGATTTTTTTGTTAGCGATTCGTCGTGTACTATTTGCACGACTACGACTACTACTGCTACTATTGCTCGTACTACAACGACAACAACTACTACCACTACTACTACTACTACTACTACCACTACTACTACTACTACTACTACTACTACTACCACTACTACTACTACTACTACTACTACTACTACTACTACTACTACTAGTAGTAGTACTAGTAGTAGTAGTAGTAGTAGTAGTAGTAGTAGTAGTAGTAGTACTACTACTACTACTACTACTGCTACTACTACTACTACTACTACTACTACTACTACTACTACTACTACTACTACTACTACTACTACTACTACTACTACTACTACTACTACTACTACGTGAATAACTACAAGTGCCACTCGTACTACTAAGGCTTTTGCACCTAGTAGTACTACGCCTATCACAGGCACGATTGCGGCCACTAGTGGCACCAGGATTGAGGACAGACAAGGATATCGCAGTGAATCCAGTATGGGCATTTTGCGGAGAAAGAGGACCGCAGAGTCGATGAGTCAGTGCGGTGCTTTGAGAAAGACCATGGGGAGTAAGGATGTTGAGGATATCAGGCTTTCGCCGTTTGCAAGTGTTTCGGGCCTGACGTCTTGAATCCCAGACCCGCCTGTGTAGATATCTACATAAAACAACATCGATTGCTCCGTAGCCATTTGGCCCAAGTAAACCTTTCTTGTCTCAATCCATCCGTTTCTGCTTGGGGTTGTGTGGGCGTTGCTTTCCCAGAGCCGGCGCGCAACCATGGCCGCGGCAGAGCACCTGGCTCTTATGGTGGAGGCGTCGGGCACCGAGGAGGTCAAGGTGCCGGAGGCAGTCGACCCGAAGCGAGTTGGGCAACGACGCATCGTTGTCGCCACGCTGTCCGTTGCTGCGTTGGCCACGGTCGGCTCGGTCGCCTTCTTCTTCCTCTTCCAGGGCTTCGGTGGCCAGCCTGCGGGATCAGAGGCGGAGCCCGAGCTGGAGCTTGAGATCTCCCACGAGGAGTTGCTGCGGAAGGTCGCCATGGACTTGGCGCCTGAGAGGACATTGTCCAAAAAGTCAAAACATAAAAAATCTAAGCTTGATGAACTTGACTTCGAGCCTGACGACACTGAGCTTGTGAACAGTGAGGAAGCCAGGGCCGAGACGATGGTGTGGTGCGGCGACCACCGCGCAGAGACATGTGCTGCCTGTGGCGATCATAGTGGTTGGTGTAACGGAGATTGTGAGTGGAAGAACAACATGTGCATAGACTTGCCGGAGCCGCCGGATCTCTCCCCTGAGAACCCTTTCGGTTGTCCGATCGAGAACGGCATCATGGGCGGAGACTGCCGGGCTCGCACTGCCAGCATCCATTTCAATTTTTTCAGGCCAAAGCACGCGCGGGAACCAATGTGGTACTACAACGAAGTCTACCCGACCGAATCGTCGACGACCACGTATTTTGCCACGAACACCCACTACTATGGTTATGCAGGCATTCAGATGGATGAGAAAGGTAGCCACGGAAGCAGGGTTATCTGCAGCACTTGGGACCAGGCGTCTGGCCCGGCGGAGATGGAGATGTGCGGCGAAGATGTGCATTGCGGAGGTTTCGGTGGCGAGGGCACAGGCAGGAGGGCGACCTGGAACTTCAAATGGAAAACACATGAGCGATATGCCGTGATGATGTTTCGGAGGAAATTGCGCGACGATCGTTTGCAGCATGTTTGTTGGTTCTATGCGCCCGAGCTTGAAGACCAGTATCCTGGCGGTTGGAAGCATATCGCGACCACCAGCACCCCCGTCAACGAAGATGGCACTCACTTCCACGATGCGGGCTCGTTCGTAGAGCAGTGGGGCCATATGAATTCGCACGACCTCCGAAAGGCCTTCTATGGGCCAGCTTACTACAGGAACGACGGTGGTGCATGGGGACAGGCACGAGCAGCCAGGTTCACCCCTACTTGGGTTGAGGAGCGGGAGCGGCAGCATCAAGTTCGAGGTGATTATGTATCCGCGGACTCTGGATGGAGGAGTCTGGGCGACGACGACGAGTCCGGGCGCCTTTGGATGGCCACAGGAGGCTTGCAGAAACCAGCGCTCTCGATGACTTCTGGGAGGAATCTTGACTTCCCCCACCACCGCTGCGGCATACCAGAGCCTCTCTACGCTTTCGATGTGCACAGGAATGCGCTGTTGTCGGCTGCCAAGGTGCATTACCCTGCTGACGAGGCGGCGTTCAACCAAGGACCCAAGTCTTGCGGGAACCACAAAGCCGTATCATGCGAAGCTTGCCCGTTCGACGACGACAACGTGCACCATGGCAAAGTATGGTGCAATGGCGATTGCGTCTGGTATGGCAACCAATGCACTGACAAGGCCGAATCCTCCCAGTGCGGAGACCCCCCGGAGGAGGTGAACTGCGGGAACCACAGGGCGGAAAATTGCGCCGCGTGCCCGTTGGGCAACGGCGAAGCCTATTGCAACGGGGAGTGCTCCTGGTCGAACGACAGGTGCGTGCGCTGAGGTCCCCATTGGGACCCCCGCCGTTTCAACCGCGGCGGCGGCATCGGCTGCCGCTGGCATCCTCCGTCGGGGCCGCTCCGGCGCATCCCGTCGCACTTCTGTTCAGAGGAGATCAAAAGGGAGTTGCGCGTGAGGAGGAGGAGGGGGAGGGGTAGTAGTAGTAGTAGTCGTAGTAGTAGTAGTAGTAGTAGTAGTAGTAGTAGTAGTAGTAGTAGTAGTAGTAGTAGTAGTAGTAGTAGTAGTAGTAGTAGTCGTAGTCGTAGTCGTAGTCGTAGTCGTAGTAGTAGTAGTAGTAGTAGTAGTAGTAGTAGTAGTAGTAGTAGTAGTAGTAGTAGTAGTAGTAGTAGTAGTAGTAGTAGTAGTAGTAGTAGTAGTAGTAGTAGTAGTAGTAGTAGTAGTAGTAGTAGTAGTAGTAGTAGTAGTAGTAGTAGTAGTAGTAGTAGTAGTAGTAGTAGTAGTAGTAGTAGTAGTAGTAGTAGTAGTAGTAGTAGTAGTAGTAGTAGTAGTAGTAGTAGTAGTAGTAGTAGTAGTAGTAGTAGTAGTAGTAGTAGTAGTAGTAGTCGCGATCGCTGGGCGCCTGGAAGAGTTGCGGTCGGTTCCTATTTAGGGCTGGCAGGAGAGCCGCTCCCCGAGACAGTCACCACTTGAGCACCAGGCTTCCTTGGCGCAGTATTGCCAAATCGTATTTCAATGTTCCTTGACGAATGCATCAGCCATGCCGTATTTCAATACACCAGCGATGTCGTATTTCAAGCACCTCGCATAGGACTCGCTGCTGGTTGAGCCCTCTCTTTCCTCCACCTGTCCCTCCTGCTTTTCTCCCTCCTCCCCTTGTGGGATATTCAATTGCGGTTCGATGCTGTTCATAGCCCGAAGCACCCGCATCGGAGGAGGAGGAGGAGGACTTCGGCTTTGGGGGGGACACGCGACTTCTGGAGGCCTCTTGCCATCGAGGCACGGCCACCGACGTTGAGCCGGCCCTGGAGAAGGGGTCGGGAGCTAGAGGGCCCACGTATCGTCAAACATCACGACGTCGGAGGTCCGGATTTTTTCTTCGCGCGAGTCTGATGCTGTAGAGGCGCGGACCAACCCGCATGCCATAACGAGGGCACGTGCGCCAATGTTTGCCAGCGTGCGCCTCAACCAGTAGGTTCTGACCTTCTCGATTTGCTCAGCAATCGGCATGGTCGCTTCGGGTGCTGTCGGCGGCTTGTAGAGGGCATCGCGACCGCAATTTGTGTGCCTTGCCCGTGCACGTTGCCTGTCTGGATGGAGAAAGGACACGCATCAAGCCAAGAGGAGGAGGAGGAGGAGGAGGAGGAGGAGGAGGAGGAGGAGGAGGAGGAGGAGGAGGAGGAGGAGGAGGTGGTGGAGGGGGAGGAGGCCACCTGTGCGCGCTACCAGTATCTGCTCCCAGCCCTCGCGCAGCGAGGATGGCCGCGTCGCCAGCCGCCTCGCCAGCGTCCTCGCCGGCGGCATGGTGGTGGGATGGCGGTCGTGCTCGTGCCCTCCCGTCCTTCGCTCTCGGCCTCTCCTCCTTCTTCCTCTCGGGGCGGTTTTGCTTCCGAGATTGGGCCTGGCGCGTCTCGAAAGACGCTGCGCGGTAATACTTGCCAGCTACTCCTGCAGTTGAGGGCGCGACGCCCTTGAATACGTCTTTTTGGCGGCGGCCCTGCCGTTTACCCCGCACATGCAGTGCCTGTTGGCACATCTCAGGAGCTATATCTAGGTCGGCGCACACGCGCTGCGCTCTTGGCCATCTCGCTCCAGCGCTTCTTCCCGAGGAAGGCTTCCAGTAGCCCGCTCGGCTGCTCTCCTGGCCGCCGTGCTTCAGCGAGCGTCTCTCGAGTAGGTAACTGCACTGTGGCGACAGTGGGGAGATGTGCCATGGGATTTCGAGGAGATGTTTTTTTCCCAACCACGTACCAACGTTGAGTTCATCCATTCAGGACTCAGGACAGAAATTCATGCGCGAACCAAGCATGTCCATCTCTCGCTCAAGTTCCGTGTGGGATAAGTCATGCTGGGGTATTTAATTGCATGGCACTGCAGCCCAGGATAGCAGCGCCTTTCATGCAGGAGTATCCAGCTAGCTGCAGCCCAAGGTAGCAGCTCATGTACAGTGCTGGCCGCTGCATCCCCAGCATTTTCTGCTCTGAGCAAGCGAGAGAAGATGCCCGCGGCAGAGCTATCATGGAGAAAAAAACAACATCGATTACACAACTTAGCCTTCACATGTAGAGGGCAGACCCTTACTGCTTTGTGCCTCGCTAGTAAGCACATATCAGGTATTTGCAGTTTTGGCGTCTTCATAGTCGCGGTTGCAAAATTCGTGGCCGGGATGGGACACGGCGTCCATCACGCGCGAGAAAACGACATGTTGTTTTCGCTCTGGCGCCGCGCATTATTTTCTTCAAGGTGGCGCTCCCGCTTGGGCGCGACAGACATCGTTGTGGCTAACTTACCCCAAACGGTTGGTTTGATTGCCCTGGGGCCAGCAGTTTTCCCCAGAGGCCGATATTGGCCAAACATTTGCGCGTCGTGAGTTGTTCACGACGCGTAGGGCTTTGGGGCTTCTGCTCCTGCTCCTACCTCCCCTCCCCCTCGTGAATTTACCAGCAAACTCGCCGGTGCGACTCGCTTGCTCAGCTGGTGGGCACGCCTCCTGTGCTGCCCCATGATTGGCTAGTGCCCTGGCCCGTGAGCGTCGGGGAAGCCCCCTCGAAGGGCAACGGATTTTCATGACCCATTGAGCTAGTCTCTTCTCGCCCTCTGCCTTTGGTCGCCCGTCCCGTCGCGCACGGCTGAGTCGCTCGCTCCTGGTTCCCCTCCCCACCCTGCAGCCCCGTGCGCCCCCAGGCCCGCTGCAGCAGGATGCTGGCGCGCTGCGACCTGCAGGCGAAGAGATGTCGGCTGTCCGCGGCGCGGACGTGGTAGCGGCGGGAGGGGGGGGGGATGGCGCGGAAGAGACAGAAGCGGGGGTTTAACCATAATCACCACCTGGGGGGTCGAGTGTCGGGGGCCTCGGGAGGAGGTGGATATGTATAGATTCAGGCCCTGGGCGGGCCACTCACATACACACATACACACATACACACATACACATACACACATACGCACATACACACATACACACATACATATGCACACATACGCACATACGCACATACACATACACACATGCACATACACATACACAGACACATACACACATACACATACACACATACACACATACACACATACACACATACACATACACATACACATACATACATATGTACACATACACATACACATACATACATGCATGCATACACATTCACACATACATACACACATACATACATGCATACATCCATACATCCATACATACATACACGCATTCATACATACATACAAACACAGTTGCACACATACATACATACATACATGCATGCATAAACGCAAACATACATACGTACACGCACATATACATTCATACACACATACATACATCCATCCATCCATACATACGTACATATATACATACACACATACATCCACACATACACACATACATACATACATTCATACATACATGCATGCACATTTACACACATACATACATACATACATACGCACATACATACATACACACAAACATAATACATACATACATACATACATACATACATACATACATACATACATACATACATACATACATACATACACATACATACATACATACATACATACATACATACATACATACATACATACATACACACATACATACATACATACACACATACATACATACATACATACACACATGCATGTATGCATACATACATACATGCATACACACATACATACATACATACATACATACATTCATTCATTCATTCATTCATTCATACATACATACATACATACATACGTACATACATACATACATACATACATACATACATACATACATACACACATACACGCATACGTACATACACACATGCATGCATGCATGTATGCATGCATCCATGCACACATAATGCTTACTTACCTACTTACAGACATGCATGCGTACATACGAAAGAGCGCGTTCTGTAGGCGCTTGGAGGGAGGATGGGGGGAACCCGATCCCCCCCCTGGATTGAAGGGGGTGGGGGGGTTCGAACCCCTCCCCCCCCTCTCATGACGGAGGGGGGGGGTTTAACCCCCCCCCTCCCCCTCCTCCCCTACTTCTCCTCTCTCCCTCTCCTCGGGCCGGCGTGGGCGTCGTTGGCGGCTGGCGGCGGGTGCGGGGAGCGTCGATGACGACGACTTCCTTTTTTGGGCTGGCGCCGGCGACTGCGGCGGCTGGCGGCGGCGGCGGGGAACGTCGACGAGGACGACGGCGACGACGATGACGACGACGACGCTTCGCCACCGTGCCTTGGTTTCGGGTCAGAGTCCTGCGCAATTCCGCGCCGACTTCCTGCCGAACGGAAACGGAAACGCAGAGTACCCTGGTCGGAATCTGGCAGGCGACCCCTGCGATGTCGCGTCGCAGGCAGCGGCGACGCGGGGCGGCGATATGGCGGACGTCGACGTGGGCGGATGAGATCGGCGCGCGCCTTGACGGAGACTTTGCGGTGCGCTGTGCGGACGGCTGGGTCTTGCGAGTTTCGGGAGACGGTCAAACTTATGGAGTGAAGCGCAACCATCTCTCTGAGCAGCTTGACGAAAGCCCGCTTGGCCACGCCGACGGCGATCATCATCGCGCTCTCTCCTGGCCGCAGACGTCGGTCGACCTGGAACAGGCGCGCTGAAGCGAGCGAAACTTGAGCCCAAGTGGCAGCGGTCGAGGCTTAGGACGTGGACTATGACGGCGAAGCCTGTGGATACAATGGCCGTCGCCGACGGAAAGATTAAGCGGCCCGTGGCGGCGAAGCTGGTGATGATAGGGGTGGTGATGAAGATTGTGATAGCGATTGGATCGCACTGATGAAGACGGCCATGCTGATGCTGATGATGAGCTCGGCGAAGATGGCCATGGCGATTGCGTGGATATCGCAGGGATGAAGCGCGCATCAGGGGAAATAGCGTTTCCCTGGGTTGCGCGAGGTCGCCTTGGGATGTTCTGGGACTTGAAAGCTTGCGGGACGGGGCTTGCCATGGGAGCGGGACTTGGCCCCGACCTATGTTTTACATACGGGACTGGGAAAATCCAGATTTTGTAATTCATACTGATATGCTCCCAGGCCGCACCCAAGTGCCGCCCCGACCCGACGGCGCGTCTTCGCTAGGAGTCCACGGGGGGATGGGGGGAGTTCTCATCATTATGACCATTATCATGTTGACCACGACCATCATCATGTTGACCATGATCATCATCATGACAGCAGTCGTAATTGCCATGATCCTCCCCTAAATCATCGCTGTCACGATCGGGATCGTCGTCATCGCATCGAGGCTCGCCGATTCCGTCACCATGGACGCGATGCAGACGGCCGCCGCTGGCCTCGAGCATTAGATCACCATGGCCGCAGTGCCGAGCACACGAGCGCGCGTCACCAGACGCGCGCAAAATCCCCTTGCCCCCTCGCGACGCGCGTCTGAACAATTCAAGGGACTTCACTTCCACCGCAGTAATGGCTCTTGTGGTTTCGTCGCAGGGTTCCCGTGGGCCTCTGAAGCTGTGTGTGAATCCCCCTACTTTCCTCCTATCTTGCTCATATCCATCGCCCCTCTTGGCTCGGATGACAGGTACTCGATACTTGGAGGTACGTTGGGTAAAACCATCGTCCCTCATCGTCTACCGACGGACACTCGGGGGTGGGGTCGGTCCATTGGTCCTCCTCACCCTCACACAGGTTATCAGCCTTCTCTTTTATATCCGACATCGCGTCCAACCTGCGCCCCGACCTGACGACATCGGACTAGTTATGCGAGATGACGGCACGACACCAGTCGTCCGTCCTCCCGCATGATGAGTCGTCGCCGTCAGTCGCGCGCAACTTGGATGCTGATATGTCCGATATTCTAGGAGCTTCCCCCAATTTTGCGGCCCGCATGGCCATCTCTCCAGGAACCGACGGATTGGACGAAGCTATGCCCCCACCCAGTGCAGCGCAGTCAATGCAGCGGGAAACCGCAGCAATGCCAGCGTTGCCCACCCAGGCGGCACTTCAGCTCCACGCTATGCAAGCTGAGTTGCAACAGCTTCGTGCCTTGCATGCTCATAGCGTTTCCGCACCCCCACTTCCTATTGGAGATCAGACCCCCCTACAGCAGCGATTCTTACACGCCGCTCCAGGG